TGACATTTATGTTTTAAGCCCCCTTTATGAATATATTTTCAATTAACACAATCCACAGCACTGTACTACCAGTTCTTATACGAGAAATTTCACTACATTTCAAAGAGTCTTGTGGCACTATACAAACTAAAATATTAGTTTTGCCACAAACTATTGTGACTCACAACCCACTATACCAATCACTTTTTGCCTCAATTACATCGCAGTTCCCTGGGGGGGGGGGAACAGCAGGGTACCTACTTACAAGCTAAACCCTAACCCTGCACCCCTCCCAAGCAGGCATTTGTTGTGTGCAGTTCACCCATCCACCCTCCTCTGGGATACTATGGGATTAGCTAGTCACTTGTAAAGGGTGAAACAGTAATGTTTTAGGTTCCCCCAGATTGGCTGATGGGGAAAAACTTTTTGTTGTTGTTGTTTGCTTCATGATGTCACTAAAAGTGGGTGATATAGGGTTGCCAGGTCCTTTTCTCTCACTGGTGGGGGGTGGGAGCTCGCTCGCCTGGAGTGGGGAGCAAGGCAAAGTCACCCCACATGATGTCCCCAGTGTTATGGCATCACGAGGAAGTGACATTATCACACCAGGGATGCCATGTGGTGAAGCTCTGGTAGTTTGGGCAAAATTCGATGGTTACCGTAAAATTTTGCCCAAAATACCAGAGCATCACTATGCATCATCCCCAGCATGATGATGTCACTTCTGTGTGACATCATCATGCCAGGGACATTGCAACAGGTGGTGGATGTTGGGGGCAGGGCTTGCCCTGCCATCCAGCTGGCCGATAGCAGGTAGGAGCCTGCCAAATTGGGGAATCCCCTGCTCCCACTTGGGAGCTGGCAGCCCTAGGGTGATAAAATTAATTAGGCCTGGTCTTTGGTTAGGTCATAACTAGTTGGCAGGAATAGGGCAAATTTCTAATGATAGGTAGGGATAATTGGCAAGGCAAGCACTCTAGGACATTGGGAATGGTATAGGGTCATGTCCTGATAGCTGGGTGGGTTGAGATGGCTAACCTTTGGTGCTGAGTAGCATTCTTCCACATCTGGTAGTGGCCTTAACAGTGCATCAGGGAAGGGGATGAGGCTTGGTACCTCTAAGAACATTAGATGTGCAGCAAAGATAAAGAGCAGAATTTTAATAAATTAGGACACAGATCAGCCATTTAAATAAGCCAGGGTGGATAGAAATCAATGATTTTAAAAAGTTAAAATGGGATTTTTTATTTAAATTGGATTTTTAAAATTTAAATTGGATTTTAAAAAAAAATAGAATGCCTTTTGAGGAAAAATCTATCTAAATATAGTTTTCTATTTAAGATACATTATAGTCCAGAGGTTATTCATCATGAAATAAGGATTAGTTTTTAATTATGTAACGTGAGGCTGTATATTCATGCAATGCACAATTATTTTTGGTAAATGAATTCCATTAATCCATTAATAATGTCATGCTCTTTGTTAAGTCCGGCGCTTAACAATGAGTCGGAGAGTGATTTCAGTAAAGACTCAAGTTTATTCAGCTCTTTCTTCACTTCTTCGACACGGTACAACATCTGATAGCCCGAACAGTTTGCCCATTGAAACTGCCCGGTATTTAAACATTCCCGGCTAACATAGCCACTCCCACTATACACATAACAACCTATCAGGTTGAGCGCATACGGACCAATCACAAACGTTCCCGCTTGCAGCTTGCTTGAATGTGATTGGGTCGTGAGTCTTGGACTAGAATCCTCTGTCCAAGACGAAGCTTAACATTGCTTCCCTATGTGATGATTCACATAAAACCTCCTGTACTCATGGCAGCTATGAATACATTACAATTCCCTCCCCCCTAAGCAAAAATACCTCATGAACAGTCGTAATCACTTAGGTAGGTGGGTGCACGTCTCGTTCTCTGAGACCTACGAGGTGAACTCGTCTCAGGGCATCTGTCCCTCAGTGGTACTCCGTTTGACTCTGGGACCTCAGAGTCAGGAACGTCCCCGTCCGTTGCATGCGCTTCAAAACTAGGGGTCTGCCCT